GAACAGAGTTCGAGTGGATATTTCCATAGATTTATCGTGGAAGGAAGCTGAAAGCTTGATGGCAGAATATGTTTTGATAACCAAAAGAAATTTTCCCAGTTGAAAATATATCGCAAAAGAAGAAGCTGAGGGTCATACTTGGCTTTTAAGCTCGGCAGTGGCACTGAAACACTGATGGTACAGTCAGTCCAGAGAAAAGAAAATCTTTCTCACATTCAATTAAATATGGTGTTGATAAAGAATCTGTCCCTCCCAGTGATTCAAATTCTGTTAAATAGCATACTAGTAGCTGCATTATTGGATACAGAGACTCAAAGTAGTTTTTTTGGCAGAAAAATTTTAAACTGTATAAAGCTGTTTCCCAACCTTTTTTATGCTATGCCCCACTTAATCCTCTCTAAAATTCTTATGCTACCCCTAGCATATACATAATTTTTAATATTCAAAAATTGGAATGTTCATGAAAGAAAACTGAATAATAAACTTTAGGAAGAAATCACTAAGAAATTTTGTGAGCAAACACAGCAAGTAAACTTTCAGAATATATAATGGAGAACTGAAATTCAAGTACAAAATAATTTTAATGAAAGTTGTTTCTATAATATTTTAAGTCATAATATATTATTTAAATTTAGTGAGATCCTTAAGCTTCATGCTTCAAAGAAATTTTAAGTCAGGTTCTAGTTTAGTTAACTTCAATCTCAACACTCCCTGTTTTATTATATGCAGACAATTTCTTTTCTTTTTTTGGGGGGGGGGCAGCAAATCATTTACGGCATTAAATCCGCATTCAGCTAAATATGAAGAAGGAAATGGTAACAAAAGTTCTCTTCTACATTTTGTTGCATTCAGATATTTGATTTAGGTTTCCTCACAAAGCCCTGTCATCGCTCCTTCTGTTTTAAATTAAGTTTTAATTGACTCATTATTTTGCTATCAGTAAGTTTTTCTTGATACTACATATTTGAAATATCAGCCAAATCCACTAACATTGGCTGCATCATAGAAGTCAGGAAATAAATTTGTTTCAAATCAGAAAATCTTTCTTTTAATCAGCCAATAAAATTTTCAGATGATCGACTAAAACATATATAGTGATATCAATCACTTCACATTTTTGGAATCTGTGAAATTTTTCAAAATTTTTGTTGTAAATAAATGCCTGATATAATTCAATAAAGGTGATAAAACCAAATATCTTCGCTTTTGCATCGACAAGAGTTTTATTTGCTCCTTGAAGTTTTTTATTTAATACATTTAGTTTTTTGAAAATTTCAACTGTTAACAGATTTTTCATTTCAGGTTCGCCACTCAAAAAATAACCAAGAGTATCAAATAGTTCCATAAATCTTCTTAAGCAGTTCCCTTTTGACAACCGATTTATTTCAGTGTTAAATATAAGTCTCATGTAGCCTTCATTTGTTCTTCACAAAAATAACTTGAAGAGACATTCACATTTGGGGCTAGCTTTAATAGCATTCCACTTTGCATTTAATACTTCATTTAGAACAGGCAAAATGTTTTCAGCTACCAGGTTTTTCTCATGAATAACACAATGCACAAAAAGCATTTCTTGATTCTCATCTTTCATCAATTTTAAGGAACTCTCTTTCTTCCCCATCATATTAGGAGCACAATCTGCACAAGATGTTATATTTTTCATTGGTATATTTTTGACATCTAAGTAATTTTTTAGCTTACTATAAATATCTTTGGAGGTAGTGGCATTTTCTAATGATTTACAGAACATTTCTTTAGCAAAATCACTTTTACCAATATATCTTACATAAGTTATACGTACAGCCTCACTGTCTCTCAAAGTTGATTCAATCATTTGTACCGGAAATTTTCTTGTTTTCAGCTGTTCAGCAAGTTTTATTTCAATATCCTCACTCATTTTTATTAACAAACTCAACGATTTAAAAGCGAGCAATGACAACACTCTAAGGGGGGGGGAACGCTGGAGATAAATCCAGCGCACGGAACTGGGTATTGGAAATTCTAAGGATATGCTCATTTTAAAATTATTTTGCGATATTGCTGTTGAACTGAATTTTATGATTTAAGTGCGAAGAACATGATATTTAACAAATAAAGGTAACACACAAAATGCTAAAAAAAATTACCCTTTGGACGTAATTTAAAATCTGGAACCTTTCAGATTTTTTAAAATTTTATTTACTTATTTTTTGGAGGAGGGGGGTAGTGAGAAATCTACAATCTAGTGTAATTTTGAGGCAGGATCTTTTTAAAGGCTGGGGGGCAAAAATTAATTTTCAGGAAGCTATTATGCAATTGGAAATGAATAAGCTGGTAGAAAAAGAAGTCCAGCTGTCGGCTTTGGACTTGAATTCAAATTTATTTGATGATGTCCCAGGGTTGATTCAGGCAGTAAATCACACAATAGAAATTGGAATTCCCTGCCAAGCAAAACCCTACCACTATTATAAGGCGAAGGAAAAAATAATCAAATAACATATTGCAGAAATGCTAAGAAATAAAATTATAATCCCCCTAAGTAGCCTTTATGATAGCCTTGAAGTACTGTGCAGAAAGGAAAAAATCTCTTTTCAACTCATTTTAAAGCATGGGATTTTGCTATTGACTAAAGAAAATTAAATAACATAGCAAAATATACAGTTTACCTCTTACCAGTAATTGATGAAAAATTAGGAACATCAAATCCACAAAATACGTGACGATGCTAGATCTCACTTCCGGATATTTTCAGATATGTGCAAAATTAGAGTATGTGCAAAAACTGCTTTTATTATCAAATCAAGAGTTTATGCTTTTCTTTTGAATGCCATTTGACGTACGCAGAACACCTGTCATAGATATTATACTAAGATATGTCCTGATTTACTTAGATGATATAATACAGTCAAAAGTCGTTAATCCAGACACCCATAATCCGGACCTCAAAGCTACAAACTTTCTGCGCATGTGTCAACGCATAATGCGTTAACGCATGCGCGTAATACCTTTATGCATGCGCATATGCATGTATGCATGCACATAATACGTTTACGCATGTGCGTTTAATGTATAACGGACAGTATAAGCTAAGCTAAAATTATCCAATTATCTATATTTCAGTTAATGTTGCAGATTGCGTTGTTCCTTAATCTTCGACTAGGATCTGGCTTATTATTTTTTGAAGACTGTTAGAGCAATTTTATAAAAGTAAGTTGGAGCTTTTGATTATGTCAAATAGAATTTCCGATACTGGAGCTGCCAAAGCATCTACAAAACGAAAGAATGTTTTGATGTAAATCAAACAAAAAGTGGAATTGCTGAAAAAATTGGATAAAAGCTCCTTTGTTTCTCTAACCATTCCGAAATCTGTTTATCAATTTCACGCTGCTCTGCGCGGGTGGGGGGTACATCGCGGCACGCAATGAACTGGAAGTTGATCTGTCAGCACTATCCTCTTATCTTCAGGGGCAGATGTTTTTATTTTATTCCACTTCTAATTCCTTACTAAATGTAGTATTTCATCTCTATGTACTCCGTCTTTGATATGATTTAAATCAAATTTCTCGTTATTATAAATATCACGAATACAAATCAAATAGTTTTGTGGTTGCAATTTTCTAATTTCGACTATGTGTAATGTATGCTTCACACATGCGCGCGTTGAAAGAAATGTTTAATAAAGTAAACAAATAAATATTAAGCTTTTTTTTTTGTAAATTTTGATACCCTTTAGATCATAATTGCTCTTTATTTCATAAATTATGGTTTCATATTTTTAATTTTATAATTTCTGCATGCCATCGTACCAGATTTAAACTGATGATCTATAATCCGGAAAGATCCGTAATCTGATGATCTATAATCCGTAATCGCTGAAGTCCCGACGAGTCCGGATTAAAGACTTTTGACTGTAGTCACTAGTGATACAATTGATGAACATTTCGGGATTTGATGAAGTGTTCTCACTTCTAAAAGAAGCCAGTTTAAAAATAAATGCAGTGAAATTAACGGCCAATGAACTTCATTACATGGGCGATAAGATATCTCAAAGGGAAACCTAAACAGAAGAAACTAAAACCACAGCAATAAAAAATTATCCACCGCTTAATATGATGAAAAGGTTAACCTGATTTTTGGGCTTGTGCTCTGGCACTTTCATCAAAGATTTTGAGTCCTTCAGGGACAAAGCCCCTTTAGACTAAAAAGCAGCCACGTTCACTTGGTTAGCAGAAGCAAACACACATCTGAATGACTTACAGTTGCTTGAAATTTTCCCTGAAGTGGATGGTAAATTAGAATTGGATTGGATTTTGCCATGCTTTCACGAGATGGACAGCTAGTAACATGTTTTAGCAAAACACTTAACCCAAAGAAGTTGTACCTCTACTGAGACAGAAACATTAGGTGTCTTTTTGGCAGTACAAAAATTTTAAGTTTATTTTGCAAAAGCTGCAGTTATCATATATACAGACCATATAGCCATTATTTGTTTTTATTTCAGGAAGAATTTAGCACCCAGACTCATATTATGGGCTCTTAATTTGCAAGAATATAATTTAATACTTAAACACACACAGGAAAGAGAATGTTGTAGCAAATGCTCTAGCAAGAAATTAACTAGATGATGAGGAGAATGAAATGTGCAATATTAACTTAATGATTTTATTTCCTAAGAAAATTATCTCAGAATTACAAAAGACCCAGAATTTAAAAACATTTATTGCATATTTGAAAGATCCTGACCACTTTGAGAGCACTACAATATGATGGGTATTAGAAATATATCTGAAATTATGAAATTATTGATAGGCTTTTGTTCTACTCCAAAGAAGCAAAAAATAATAACGAATTTAAGATCGACTATCAAATGAGTTTAAGATTAAATATTTCTAGACTTATTCTTAAAAGGGTAATTGGTCAGCATTTTTTTATTAGTTATTATTTTTAAGTTTACATTTTATTTCTTATATTCTTCAGATGGTAAAAAAGAACTAATTAAAATTTTTTAATTAACTACTTACTTAGCTATTTCTAATGCAGGAACACATGCACCTGGCCTGTATCCTGATATCCCTCTATACTCTTTTGCAAAAATGCAGTCAATTAAGCTTGCCTGGCCATTAAGAAGCTTGCTGAATTGTTTTTGGACATATTTTTTCACCAAATCTACATCATATGTTTCAAAAAGTATTTTCAAAGACTTTTCCAAAATCTAAAACAGTTTTAAATAAATCATTTAAAAAATAGAGCAATTTCCATATCAACTTCATACAATATAAGTTAATAAAAATTTAATCTTGTGTGGTTATTTGATAGATAGCATACTTAACAAAAAATTAACATGATAAAATATGCATAATGCATATACCAGGGGTGGCCAAGCTCCTTGATAGTCCGACCATTTTTCAAAATTTAAAATTTTTTGCAAGCCGCAATTAAATGCGTATGCAAAAAATAAATATGTATGTATTTAAAAGGTATGAGAAAAAGGTATTAAATTTTTTTTACAGAAATTATATTTATTGAAAACATATAAATAAAAGTACAAAATATGTATATTGAATTTAAATATTAAAAATTAAACCCATTTATTTTACTTCTCTTGATAATTCTTTATAATTTGGTGAATAATTGGTGACAGCACTTCTGAGTAATTCTTTGAGATGCTGGTTAGTTAATATTGATCGGTGTTTGGATTTTATGAATTTTAAAGTGGAATAAAATGATTCAGATAAGTACGCTGTTCCGAATATTGAAATAATTCAACAAGCAGCCTTTTTTAATTCATAATACTTCGATTCTCGTACAAATTTTCAAAATTCAGTAATCAGCGTCGATTTATATTTGTAGAGCTTGATCTTCTTGCATCTCTATTAATTTTAATTCTACAGATGCTTTTTGGGTCATAATTATGATGGAAATGGAAAACTCACCTTGAATTATGTTAATTTCAAATGGATTCAGAAAAAAAATCAAGAGACGATGAACGGAAATGAAATTTGTTACAACGTTGCACTTAGTCTTTCATATTTGTTGTCTGTAATTTAAAAGACATTTTGAAACACATACTGAATGATAATAATTTTTTAAAATATAATAACACAAAAATGAAAAGGGAACTGGGGTACATTTATCGAAAATCACAAATAATCCTTCAAAGAGCTGCATGTGGCTCGTGAGCCGCAGGTTGGCCACCCCTGGTATATACAATAGTATAAATATTAATTGAAACAGTATATTTCAGCATTACACTCCAAAAATATATATTTGCATACTACTAAAAAAAAAAAAACTTTTGACGTATGCTTATTTTTACCTTTGCTGTAGCCGGGCACGAGTCTCTTCGCACTGTTTCAATACCTTTTGCATCAAAAACAGGCTTTTTCTGGTCAGCTGTCTCATACATGAAGCCAACATATCTTTTTTTTGTCTCCAATACACAGGGCAAATACACCTTTCATGAAAATAAAAAAAAATATATATATGTTACATTATTAAAATATTTAGCAACTCCAAGTACTAAAAAATGCTAAAATTAAAGGTTGTGTTGGAAGGATTATGTTAATTTCTTTAACAGTTAAAGTTCCTTTCCTGTCTTCCTGAATTTCAACTTACAACTTCTGGCCAGCATGTAGTTCTACTGTCTTTGTCAGAGAGAACCAGTGATTCTGGCTAGCACATGTCTGCCTTTTTAGGTTATTCTCTCTTAAGCTATTATTATGCTTGACCGTACTTTAGGCCATTGATAGCTTCGCTGTTATTCAGCTTTAACCTTCCAGCACGCGTGCTTGGCAATTTTACATGAGCACGTGCGCGTCGTATTTTTTACGACATCCTTCATTTTACTGTTTTCGGCACGAAAAACAACAGAAATGAGTGAATATTGATAATAAATTTGTTAAGAAATAAAATATTAACCTTATCATTGCAAAATACAAATGATATCACACTCAAATACAAGTAAATTATTTTGAAGTTCTTATGTTAGTGAGATGGAAATGCAATGATGTATTTCATTATAGAAAATTTTAAATTTATTATTTCAAAATTATATTTAAATGTCAAAGCTAATTTTAATATTCATCAAAGGCAAGTATAGACAGATAAAAAAGGAAAACACACTCACGTTGGTAGGAAAAAAAGTAAGTTTAGTATTACTTAATTCAGCATGGAAATTTACTTCTTATTGGGTACAAAAACACAGTTTTAACTAACTATTAATATTTTTATTTATTTCTAAAAAATAGAAATAAATGAAAATATGGAATGGAAATCACTATTGTTCTCCCATCCAAAGGTTTCCTTGTCTTCCTTTTCTTCATCAGATAATTCTTGAAGAATGCGAGCAAAATCAGCTGGTTGCACATATTTTTTTTGCCATGAAAACTGATATAAAAATTACAGAGTCAAATGTATGCAAATTAAAATAGCACACGGCAATTAATAACACAAAATTACAAAATATTTGAGAAAAAAATATTTTTAGAATTTTAACTCACAACCACGTGTGTGTTGTAATTTTTACGAAGAAACTTCCACGTAGCACAAAAGCCCCCCAAAATAAAGAAAAGTCAAATGACTTCCTATTGGCTTATTCCATGATATGTGGAAGGGTAGAAAGGCGGAATAGAAATGACCTTCAGACGACTCAGCTTCAATATATGAAAAATGTGCATTAAAAACAGAATTTGTCGAAACTTTTGCGCATACTCACGTGCTGGAAGGTTAAGGTCCCATTCAGATGAGGGCATAAGTGGTTAAAGTGGAGCTCCGTTGCCAAGGCAACCAGTCCCTGCTACATCACAGAATCAGGTTTAGGGCTCGTGGCATAGGGTTAAAAGTTTTCAACTTTACGCCGAGTTCGGGATAAGCGTCGACAAATCAGAGCGAAGCTAAAATGAAGCGGCTTCTTTTTTTAGGCGATTTTGCTGTCACATCGAAGGCGACATTTTTTTTTAACATGGAGCACATCATATCCGAACAAAATAATGAGCTGATCTCACAAGAAATCTACGATGATGACATGCATTTTTTAATGAGTTTTAATGCATTTTTTAATGAGTTTTTCAATTTATATTGAAAAATATGGATGAAACTCTTAAGCGAAAGTTAAGCTCAGGATTATGCACGCTGTGTATGATCCTGTAGATCAAGGATGTCAAACTAGCGGCCCGGCCAATATATCGGCAAATAATAATATATAATAATAAAATAACATATCGACGAAGAAAAAAATGAAATGTTACTGCTAAGTAATTAACGATAATTTATTCAGTGTTGTTAGATTACTCACAGCGAGCTGACACATACACTACTTAAATTACAAATGCGTGTGAGTAGCTTGCGTTCAGCTATTTTCGGCTTTTGGGGGACACGTGCACTCAGAACTTGTACGCATCCCTCGATAGCCGAACTCATGGTCTCAGTTTTCTAATCATAGTTTTGTACGATATATTGGTGCATGTGCATGCACTTTGCTTTATTATTAATTATTACTTAATTCATATTGTTACGGATTTCATAGTTATTTATTTATTTAGAATTGTAATTAGATTTGCTTCATGTTGTCTTAGCAACGCAGACGATTTTTGAAAAGACCTCTGCGTTGGAAGGTTAAAAATAGAACAGCGCGTGCATTTAATACCTAATAAATAAATATCTCGTAATTGCTGTTGCCATCCACAAAATTGCAGATATTTATAGATGTTTCCAGTATATTCGAGAAATTAATTATAAAGCTTATAAAAGCCGAGAACAAACAACTCATCTCAGTAGTAGCTGTATTTCTAGCGAACTGTTTGTTTACTTAATGCTGTGATTGATTTGTAGCGATTTCGCTGTGAGATAGAATTAGTTTCTCTGTTTTGAATTGATTTTTGCTAAACGTTTCATATTTTGTGATATTGTTAGAATATTTTTTCAAGAAATATTTCAGAATTTTGCTTTATCTCTTGTGGAAAGAATAAATTTTCGTTAACTTTTTAACGTTAACCGTGTTTATTCCAGCCCTTTGCATTCAGTATGTCTATATCAAAACCAAGTGGTAGTAAAATTAAACGAAAAATCGCTGACGAACATAGAATATTCCAAGTAAAATGGGAATTAGAATATTTTTGCTGTGAAATAAAAGATAAATAATCTGCTTGATATGTAATAATACTATTAATGTATTAAAGTTATATAATATTAAACAACGTCATTACGAACAACACAAATCGAAATATAACGATTACGAAGTATTAATGAGAGAAGAAAAGTTGAAAGAGCTCAAGTTAGGAGTGAAAAAGCAACAGTCCATGTTTAGTAAAGTATTGCAAGAAAGTGAAGCGGCGGTACATGCAAGTTACGTCTAGTCTGAGTTGATAGCTAAACATTCGAAGCCTTTTACTGACAGTGATTTCATCAAGGAATGCCTAATGAAAGCTGGAGAAATTGTTTGTCCTGGAAATGTGAAGGCTTTTCAATCAATTTCATTGTCTCGAAATACAGTTGCAGAAAGAGTTACTGATTTAGTCGCGAATTTAAGTGATCAGATCAAAGCAAAATCATCTAGTTTCGAAAGTTTCTCCATTGCCTGTGACGAGAGCACGGACATTAGTGGCAAAGCTCAATTAGCAGTGTTTCTTCGTTCTTGTGACAAGAATTTTAACATTTTTGAGGAATTACTGGAACTAATACCGATGCCTGGTACTACCACAGGAGAAGATATATTTACTTGTGTTTTTGGACTTCTGCAGAAATACAATCTACCTTTGGCAAAATTAAATTCTGTAGCTACAGATGGCGCTCCATCAATGACCGGGAAAAACAAGGGCTTCATAGCATTACTAAGAAAAAAAAACTTAGTGAAATTCACGGTTCAAACATTCATCATATGCATTGTATTATACATCAAGAAGTTCTATGCACGAAAGTAATAAATATGGAGAATTTTGTCATATATAAAAAAAGTTATAAATTTTATAAGATCTCGAGGTTTAAATCAGCGTCAATTCACTGCTTTCTTAAGTGAGTTAGATAGTGAATATTCGGGTTTGTCCTACTATACCGATGTACGTTGGTTATCTTGCTCCAAGATTCTCAAACAATTCTGGATTTGAAAGAAGAAATATGTCAGTTTTTAAAAACGAAAAATCAAGACGTAAGTTTGTTTTACGATCCAATATGGATACAAGATTTATCTTTCTTGGTTGATATAACCAAAACACTTAACGATTTAAATTTATCGTTACAAGGAAAAGATCATATCATTACGAACATGTTTGACATAATTAAAGCATTCAAATGTCAACTAGTTCTTTGGGAAAAACAATTTAAAAATGAAGATTTGACGTACTTCCCGTTGTGCAGCATGAACAAATCAAGTTTAGATGATACTTGTTCGTATCGAAAATACGCAGAAAAAATTGCAAATTTAACAACTGGATTTGAAACGAGGTTTAATGATTTTAGTTCCCTTGAAGACAAAAAAATTTTTTTTTTTTTGTTTTCTTCGATTTTCTCAATAAGTATTGACTCAGTACCCAGCCATATGCAAATGGAGGTGATCGAGATTCAATGCAACTCAAATTTGAAAGCAAAATTCATTGAAGTGGGCGTGCCTGAATTTTACAAATATTTACCAGCCAGGTTTGAAAATACTCGAAAATTCGCATATGAAATTATTTCCATGTTTGGTAGCACTTATCGGTGCGAGCAGTTATTTTCAGTCATGAAAGGTAATAAGTCTCCTATTAGAAACCATATTAATGATGCTCACCTTGGGTCAGCGTTGAAAGTTATCACTGCAAACAAAATTTCTCCCGAAATAGGAAGGATAATAGCAGAGAAGAGATGTCAAGTATCAGGATGTAAACATTAAATTTTTCTTGTTCTTTTCTATATAAATATATATATATGTTTATTATTGTATTATTCGAAATAAATCTACCTTTCTATGAATATTGATTTTTTTTTTTTTTGCGGCCCGCCTAAAGTTAAACCTTGTTTGTTTGGCCCAAGTGTACCTATGAGTTTGACATCCCTGCTGTAGATGATTGATCCCATCCAATATTTTTCATTTTATTATAAAAATTCTTTAAAAAATGCATGCTTGCAAAAATTTTATTTTTTCTGTGTAAATTATTATTATTACTTTCTTTCTGTTTATAATTTTTTTTAAAAATTATTACTATCATTTTTTTTTCCTGTTTAATTATTTTTGTATTTTAAGAATAAATTTTATTGAAAAAGCTGGAAATATTGTATTGCTATTTGCATCAAATGCTGATTTTCTTTCCAAACAAACTTCATGAATTAATTTTACTAAAACATCAATCAATATCTAGAATCTGCAGTAGTTTTTTTAACAGTAAAAATATTACTAAAAAAAAAAAAAAAAAAAAAAAAAAAAATTCACTTATTTAAGAATAGTCAATTCAATGGGGTAAGCTTTGTATAAGTAATAAAAGACTA